ATGGCCTTCCTGCTACAGTATTTACTCATCAATTTATTTAAATGGGGTGGTTCATTTGCAGGGTTGGAAGGTTGCCATGTATGTGCTCAGTGAAAGCCAATCTTCCACCTATCCTGCCCTTGCTTATTCATAGGAGCCTCTCCAGTTCTTCCTTCTCTTGACCTTCCTTCCTAGTGAAAAACAACTTGCTTACATTGAGTGCCCCTTAAGGGACACTGAAATGTCAACCCCAGGGTAAAGGTAGGAAGGGGTGAGGCAGGTATAACTTTCTATAAGGCTTATAGGCTTAGAAACAAAACAAAGAAACAAAAAAACCTCTCTAAGATGGACAAGCATTAAGGAATGTTTGGCTTTGTTATTAATTTTAGGTAATAATAAAAGCTAATATTTATTGAATACTTAATATGTACTTTGTACCCTTCCACAAACTTCCAATGAGTTAGAACATTTAAGCCTGTCTCCATTTTTAGATGGAGAAACTGAAGCAGAGAGAAATAAAAGTAAGTTGCCTCGAATCACAAAGAAAGCAATAAAGTCAGGATTCAGACTCAGTGATCTGACGCCAAAGCGTGACTGCCATATTACTGCACCACTCTGCTCGAGACTGTTATTAGAACAAAATGTGGGGGCACCTGGGTGGCTCAGTCAGTTGCGCATGTGACTTCAGCTCAGGTCATGATCTCACAGTTTGTGAGTTCGAGCCCCGTGTGGAACTCTGTCAGCACAGAGCCCACTTAGGATCTTCTGTCCCCCTCTTCCTGTCCCTCCCCCCCAGGCTCACATGCTCTCACTCCAAAATAAATTAAAAAAAAAAAATTTAAAAAAAAAGAACAAAGTCTGAGACACTGCTTTCACAGAGGGTTTCTGCCCACATAGCAGTGACTTGGAAAACTGTCTGGTCATTATTGCTTTATCAAAACACAGCATTCAAAGTGATTTGAGGGCATTTGTCTGAGGATATTATAACAAATCAGTCCCAATTCCAATTCTCAGGGTGGCCAAATGTGACAGCTAATATTTTGTGTCCACTTGGAAAGGTCATGGTACCCTGGTAATCTGGTCAAATACTTGTCAGGATGTAGCTATGAAGGTATTTATTATATGAGATGAAGTTTAAATCAGTAGACTTTGGGTAAATCAGATTACGCTCCATAGTGTGGTGGGCCTCATCAGATCAGTTGAAGGTCCTAAGAGAAAAAAGATGGAGGTCCCCTGAGGAAGAGAGAACGTGTTGGTTCTGTTTTTCTGAACCCCAACACACTAAATACTACTAACTTTTTTCTCTTAAAATTTTTCTCTTATATCCAAGCCATAATATGCTGTAAGCAAAGCTGTTGCCAAATCACGGAATACGAATGAAGGGTCTGAAGTGATTATGCCTTTTCTTTCTCCTCATAGTCCCATATGACTTTCTGGTCACAATCAAACTGACTTTCATATACAGGAGCACAAAAGGGCCCTTCCCATATCACCCCTGTCTCCTGACTTGAGAGGCAGCTGTTGAAGATGGCAAAGGCCAAAGTTCTCACCCAAATAAGCTATCTCTGAAAAAGAAATCCAAAATAAAAATGGTTGTGAGATGCCTTATCCCATTTTTAGGAGGAGGCGTAGAAAGAGCAGCCAGCAGTCACACAGACACTTAAGATTATGCCTACATAAATTCCAGGCAATATTCTAATTATAACTCATGCTAATTATGTTATCACTTCACATTCATGATTAACAAAAGTTTTCTGGCTGTTGTCAAATCTTAAGTGAAAAGCTTTTAACTTCCTTCATTTCTTATCAGTGAAACCAATTTGGAAGACTCGTTCAAAGTAATGTATTTAATTGGCAAGGACTCCCTCGTGCATGAATGAACAATGTGTCTCCTCAGGTCACTAATGAAATGTGCTCTATTTAGGATTGCAGAAACATCTGGAATGTATGTAATAAGACAAGAGGGGAACATTATGGGGGGGGGACTCGGAAGATTCATTTGTTTTAATGTAAGAAATGAAGAAAAGAGACAGTAAAATGTAAAACTCATTGAAAGGGTTTCATAGCAGCTGGGACAAGCTGAGCAAAATCAGTTCTGGAAGAAGTTAGGAGACATGGACGTAGAAGGAGATGCACTGAGTGTTAGGCATTTTGTTCCTCCTTGTTACTAAAGACTAATACTCTCAGTACTCTGCAGATTTTTAAAAATGGTTCTCTTGAAAATTACTCTCTCAGAAAGGGAGTTCTCTAAAGAGGCTGTGCAGAACTGATTACTTCTATTAATTAAGTGAATGAGGGTGAACCAAACTAATATTTCCGGGTAACCCTTCTGTTATGAGGAGTTTGTGTCCTTCCTCCCCCCATTCATTTGTTGAATCCTCGGCCTCAGTGTAATGGTACTTTGAGGTGGGGCTTTTGGGAAGTCATGGGGATTAGTGACCTTATAAAAGATGCTTGAGGTGGCTTCCCTGCCCCTTCAGCCATGTGAGGTTACAGTGAGAAGACGGCTCTCATCAGACACTGAGTATACTGGCACCCTGGTCTTGGATTTCCCAGCCTCGGCACTATGAGATATAAATGTTTATTGTTTAGAAGCCACCCAATTTATGGTATTTTTGTTGTAGCAGCCTGAACAGGCCAACTCGCCCAAGCCTGATCCATCTGCTAATTCCCCTAGTCATTTCGTTAAAGTACCTCGATTCCTCATTTCATTTCTTTATGTAGCTTTTAATCTAAATGATACTCACCTTTTTGCACTAGGACATTCTTTTAGTCTCAGAATTTACTTCATTTCTATGTAACAATAAACCTCACATTTATTCGGTGTTCATTATATGCTAACCCCTGTGAGATGGTGTACATTCACATATTATCGCATTTAATCTTACAGCAGTCCAAAGAGGAGGTAGTACTATTATCTCATTTTACCAGTTAAGAAATTGAGGCAGAGGTTCAGTCATTTGCCCAAGGTTATGCAGCTACCCATCCGTAATGGGAAACAATTTACATTCTTTTGTCAAGGTTAATCCATGGCCACAGTGGCTCATCCTGTCCTAATAGCCAATCATTCTTTAATAGTCAATCATTCTTTTCTACTACCGGTTCGCCCTCTCTCTCCTCTTCTATTACAATGCATCCCGTTCCATCATTCCTTCCCCCAAATAAAAAAGTACAAACTCTGGTAAACAAATACCTAGATAATTCAATGGGTTTGCTTTTATTATTTGATTTTTAGTGGAAAGATCTGGGAATGAAGGAGAGTCCTTGAAACTGGGTGTTTTGCCTATCAAAACATTTTCATAATGATCCTTAAGCTAGGGTTAGACAAGAAGTTCAGTGCTGTGATGAATAGGAAGCAAGAGTAGGACACTCCGTCCTGGCTAAAAGACATAAAACTTGCTTTTGAGTTTTTCTTTGGTAAGGTTCCCAGACAGTATTTCTAGAACAAAAGCCTCCTCCTTTTGGTGCTACAGGGCCGTGGTGCCGGATTCGCTGATGGGAGTGTCTGAGGTGGCTGGGTGAGCCCAGAGTCCAAGGGACGTGTCTCCTAAACCTAGGCAGGGCACAAGAAAATCCTGGGGACCAAATACCTGGCACAGCTTGGAAACTTGTTTTTATGATAACTTAGCCTAAATTGCCAAGATTTCCTCTTACTGCAGAAAACAGTGACGATTTTCCACCTAAAAAAAAATCTTATCAGGCCACCAAAGCTACTGAAAAAAAGTGGTGCGTCCGAAGAGAAACCCTTTGTAGGCAGCTGCTGGTGATGTTATTATTTAAAGGAAAATTCATATTTGGCAACGCTTCTTAAACTTTAATGTGAATGCGAATCTCCTATGAATCTTATTAAAGATCAGATTCTGCTTCTGGGGTGGGGTCAGAGATTTTGCATTTCTAACAGCTCCCCCAGGATGCTGACGCTACTGGTCCACAAACCACAAGGTATACAGACCCACCTGAAGAAAGGAGATTACCTTTCAGTGAAGCTGGCCCACTGTTAGTTTATTCGTTTTTCATTTTCCTGAAGGCTTGTGCTAAATAATAAAATCTACTTCGCTTTCTTTCCACCTTGTCACTTGTGTTTGGAGCAACACAATGGAAGGGCAAGCTGGCGCTTGTGAACAACAGACACATTAATAAAAGAAAGCTCCAGAGGGAGAAACTCACGACCAGCCTGTTGCCATGACGCCAGGTTAATGACACTGAGCTGGAAGAGTGATTCTCCCTGGACTAGGTATCAAGTGACACCATCTTAATTGCTCATGGAAAAGACTGCCCCTCTTCCAGCAAACAATTATTTCCTGATCGATACCCCTGTCTTGTTAAATACATTTCCTGACCATTTATAACTAAACATCAGATACACTTTCCCTGAGAAGGAGAACAACTTCTCGGCTATCGCTGCTCATCAGCAGCCCCAACCCAGAGCACACACAAAAGCTTCTACGTGTAGCTGGTCTCGATTGTTTGAAATGCCTCATTATTTGTTATGCTTCAGTGACTTTTGACTATAGATGGAGAACTAAGAAGGGCACACAACTTCCCTTCTAGCAGCTTGTTTTATGCTGGCAGATAAAGCCTCAGCTTGGGGGAAGGAAAGAGGATTGTCTCAAGACCTCTCTGAGGCATCGCCTAACCTCGGCCGCTGCCACGCAGCAGTCCTCACCACGCTACTCACTTCGTGTTTGGTTGTGGCCCAGAGGACTCATGGACTGCTGTTACACCTGACACCAGAGGAGATGTGGGTTAGTAGGGCAGCACATCTCTCACTTCCCCTCGTGGTTCTCTGTTTTACTTCCCTCCATAACATCATCACACTGCAGTGAAAATTCTATTAATGAGTGTCCTGGGTTGCATAGTGTCTCCCTAAAGTAATAGCTACCAGTTACCTGACAATGGAATCTTGCTTGGAATCAGTCTTTGTAGAAGTAAGTAGTTAAGATGATGTCACAGTCAGTTAGGATGAGCCCCAAATCCAATTGTTGTTTCCTTATAAGAGGAAAGGATGCCCACGTACTCACAGAGGGCCATGTGACAGTGGAGGGGGACACTGAATGCCATCCAAGGAATTCCAAAGATTGCCAGCAACTACCAGAAGTGAGGAAAGGACAAGGAAGGATCTCTCCCAGAACCTTTAGAGTGGTTGGCATGGCTACTACCTTGATTTCAGAGTCCTAGCCTCCAGAATGATGAGAGAATAAATTTCTATTGTTTGAAGCCCCCTATAGTGTATGGTACTTCATCACAGCACCCATAGTAAAGTACAGAGTGAGGGAAATCAAAGGAATTAAAAAGTATGCTGGAAAGAATTTAAAACTGCGGGGAAATTTGACTTATAAAGAAAAACTCTGAGAATTAAGCCCTTCATAGGGTTCCATTTCCTTGCTTTGCTGATGGGCTTTTCCAGTCTGGGCTTTCCATGGGAACATTTTCTTCAAACCTTTACAGTTCAAGTCTCCATTCACCTTGGGAAATCTCACACACAACCATTAGGGATTGGTTTGCCAATTTCAGTCCCAATACCAGAAGCAGAAGTAGGTGCTGCAGCCTTAACCAGCTCCCACAATTGTGTAGCGCCTAATCCCTACATATAACTCATGGTGGTTCTATTTCTCTTATTGAATAGTGACCAATCCAGAATTTCATACCAGTTGTAGGGTGTCCTGGTTACCTAGTGGTGTATAACAAAACATCCCAACACTTTTTTTAAGGGAGAATTATTACTTTTTAAAGACGATTTTTAGAGATTAATAAACTAATCATTTTATTAAATCTCATAATTACTGTGGAATGGGTATTTGGAGAGTACTCAGTGTGGAAGTTCTGTCTTGGTCCTTGCTTTTAGGCTTCTGCTAATGGTCTACTCAATGCCCTTCCAGTTGCCCACCAATGCCAATGGCAAATGCTACTTGTTTTAGGATTTTGTTGTGGCAGCATTCAGCTTCCAGGTACCAAATCTTCTTCTTCTGGTATCTATCACTGGCTTAAAAATCACCCCAGAACAGCAATAATCATTTCATTATCTCTCACAGTTTCTGTGTGTGAGGGATTTGGGAAAAACTCAACTGCCAGGCTCTGGTTGGGGGTCTTCATGTGGCTGCAGTCAAATGATGGCTGGAACTGGAAGAGCAGGGGAATGGGGCGGCTGGGGGCTGGCCGGGCATCGCTCTTTCCACCTGTAGTCCCAGGGCCTCCCTACATGGTCTCTGCATGGACCAGCTGAGAGCGTTGTGGCTTTTGGCAGTGAGCCATTCATATGTTGGGTGAAGGCTTTGACAGCAAGGGGCCCAGTGAACAGGCAGCACATGTAGCTTATTTTTGTTCCAAGAATATGTCTTCTCTTCCTTCTCCAAAGGTATTAATAATACTTTTCTTCCTTCTGTAGTTTGTTGCCTCCAAAATTTTTTGTTTGCTCTCTTTTGTAAGTCTCATTATTGTTTTGTTTTGTTTTTAACTTTGAGAGAGAGAGAGAGAGAGAGAGAGAGAACGGGCACAAGCAGGAGAGAAGAGCAGAGGGAGAGAGAGAGAGAACCTTAAGCAGGCTCCGTGCTCAGCACCGAGCCTGACACAGGGCTCGATCCCACAATCCTGGTATGACCTGAGCTGAAATCAAGAGTCAGATACTCAACTGCCTGAGCCACCCAGATACCTCTCTATATTTTTTTTTTTATCACAAGTGTCATTATTTTAATTTGTATCTATTTCATTAATGATGAGGTTAAACATTTAAAAACTGCTTGAGGGTCCTGGGTGGCTCAACTGGTTACGTTTCCAACTTTGGCCTCAGATCATGATCTCATGGTTCATGGGTTTGAGCCCCATGTCAGGCTCTGTGCTGACAGCTAGCTCAGAGCCTAGAGCCTGCTTCAGATTCTGTGTCTCCCTCTCTCTCTGCCCGTCCCCTGCTCACACTCTGTCTCTGTCTCTGAAAAATAAATAAACATTGGGGGAAAAAATATTAAAACCTGCTTATTGATCACATGCATTTTTATCCTTTTTGAATTACCTTCCTTCCTTCCTTCTCTCTTTCTCTCTTTCTCTCTCTCTCTTTCTTTCCTTCTTTCTTTTTCTTTCTTTCTTCCCGTGTGAGAGAGAGGGAGAGAACACAAGCCTGGGAGAGGCAGTGAGAGAGAATGCCAAACAGAGTCCACACCAAGTACAGAGCCCGACTCGGAGCTCTCTGTCTCACAGCCATGATATCATGACCTGAAAATAAGAGTCGAACACTTAACAGCCTGGTGCCCCAACCTTTTCATTTCTTTTGCCCATTTACCTATTGTGGTGATTGTCTTTTTTTAAGGTTTTAAAGAAGTCTTTATATGCTAATGATACTTTTTGCCATTTGTATTGTACATATTATTCTCCCATTAGTTGTCTTATTTTCCAAGCTAAAAACTAGGATAAACGCTATGAAAAAGGATGTTTACCTGATTTATAAATGTATATATATTTAAAGATTTATAACAATCTATAAAAATAAATTACAGTTATAATTTAACAATTTGCCTTTAAATAATAAAAATTACTGAAAGAAGAACTGGTCCTGAAGACCCATTCCTATTAGATCACGGTTTTCATTTCTGCCTGCACATCAGAATAATTTGGGGAACTTACAAAAGTACTGATGCCTGGGTCCTAGCCATACTGAAGATTGGTCTCGAGATGGTAATGTGCAGCCGGCAGTGAAAAATCTTTGCTATAGGGGGGCGCCTGGGTGGCTCAGTCGGTTAAGCGTCCGACTTCGGCTCAGGTCATGATCTCGCTGTTCGTGAGTTTGAGCCTCACGTCGGGCTCTGTGCTGACAGCCAGCTCAGAGCCCGTAGCCTGTTTTAGATTCTGTATCTCCCTCTCTCTCTGACCTTCCCCTGCTCATGCTGTCTCTCTCTCTCCCTCTCAGAAATAAATAAAACATTAAAAAAAAAAAAAAAAGAAAATCTTTGCTATAGGTAATCAGTACTCTTGATCAGAGCTGGCTTCCTGTGGGTCACGATTCCTTCCAGAGAACTTGGGGCTGAGCATGACTCTTGGGTCGTATCCTTCCTGGGTTCTTCTGAGCAGCCCTTTTATTGATAGGTTACGAAAAGTCCATTTTCTCATAGGCATCTCTTGTCCTCTTCTGTCACGAGCTGCCTGAAATTCTCAATATCATGGTTAGTCTTTAAGGGTTCTTCGCTTAAGGTGTCCTGTTGGTTGGAAGTTTAACACACTGGTTACCTACATCCTTGCTACTCAGAGTGGTATTCTGGACCAGCAGGCCCCCAGCTCCAACCCCAGACCTAATGAATGAGAGTCTGCATTTAAATCAAATTCCCAGATGATCGTATGCACATTAAAGCTTGAGAAAGACCAATCCACAGGGAATTGTCCACCAGGATGTAAATAAACTACAGTAGGGCAGGGACCTTGTCTATCTTGTCCGCTGCTGTGCTACTGGACCCACAATTATATATGTTGAATGAATGGATTTGCTTATTAAAGGAAGTTAAACGTATTTCTCCTATTTTTGTATACTAATATGTTTGGGATTGAGTAACTAATTAAAGCCTACTGCAAAACCCCAAATTGAAGACTGACAATATAGGCCTGTAAGGATTTCATGAAGTAAATTTGAAATAAAATTGTATTGGGTATTCATCAGAAAACTAACATGCAATCACTTGCCTTTTATAGCTCTATATCCTTATGAACTGGGAAGAGAACACATTCTTTTTTGTGGAACTGTCACTTTATTTTTTGTCTCAGAAAATAAACCTTCATTCCTTTTTGGTGACACCCAGAATAATCTCTGATCATCTAATTTACTTTTCGGTTCACCAGAGGATATTTGTAGCGAAGTGAACTTCAGAGATGGATGTTTAGGATAATGTTATGACGTTAGAGGCAAAGTAGATAAGAGGCATTTGGAAGGAATTCATGACAACGTGATAATCTTTTATAAGTGATTCCTTCCTCACCTATTTTTATATAGGAATGCCATTAGGTGCATTCAATTATCTTCAACAGACTCTGTTGTTTAAACCTAAGAGTGAGAACTGGTTTTCAGTTGTCTTCGTGTCCCTCAGAATTTTTTACATGACACTGCCTTGTATTTGATAGGAGTTCCTCAAATATTTGTTCAATTGAATTACTCAACTGTACTGTAAGGACTTTTTTTACATTCTTTAGACGTAGACCCCCCAAAACCTAAAGTAATCATGATAAACACTAAATTCAGTCCAGGTTCTTTATCCTCAAAGAGATTAGAATGGGATGTTCTTAAACTGTAAATTTAACTTCTACAAAGTTCTGCTTTAGGGTGAACACCATATATGGCATTCCAGCACCATTTTCTCTCTAGAGGTTTCTTCATCCCTCTACCCTTGGTCAAAGTAGAAAGACAATTTTGGACATGCTGAGTGGGTCATGCACCACAGATCTGGATGTGTTTTATTCTAGAAATGAGTAACAAATGTAAGCAAAGTTTTACCTGAAGAGACCTGGAAAGAAAAAATAATGAAATAATGCCCTCCATATACTGAGAACTTGTAAGTATTGGGTGCTATACTGGATTTTTCTTTTCTTTTCGTTTTTTTTTTTTTTTACTTTTTAAAAATTTAATTTGAGAGAGAGAAAGCACATTTGTGTGCATGGGAGTGGGGGGGAGGGGGGAGAGAGAGAGACAGAGACAGAGAGAGAGAGAATCTTAAGCAAGCTCCATGCTCAGCTTAAGGAGCCTGCTGTGGGATTGATCCCGTGACTCTGGTATCATGACCTGGGCCAAAATCAAGAACGGGATGCTCAACTGACTGAGCCACACAGGTGCCCCATACTGAATTCTTTATTAAAAACAAACTCCACTATTACTGCCTTCTACTTACAGATAAGGACAGATGGGGAAACTAAGACAAAGAACTTGTGAGTAACTCTTCTGAGCTAGTGAGGGGCAAGGCTGGGATTTGAACTCAGACTGTCTGGCTCCAGACTCATCACTCTCTGTGGTACAGTGCCTCCCCAGAATGATTGTTAAAGTTTCTTTTTCTAGTATAATGAATTAAGACCTTTTCCACACCCATTTAGAACTAATTTGTCCTGCATCCCATTCTTCCTGCACTGGATAAACTTATTCATAAAACCTAT